GGTGGGCTCTCACAGGAGTAGCGGCGTCAGTTGCCTGAGAAGAAAGCAGGCGGCGGCGCGGCCAGGTGAAACGGGAACCCGCGCGCTCGGTGGTTTTTGTTTATCTGTGCGCGACCCCGCCGGCTCGTTGTCTGGCTGCGGCGCTTTAACCCGCCGGGGTGTTTCACCTCGGGCTCTTTCCAGTTTCCAGCAGCGTTCTGAGATGCGTGGGTACCCCCCACGTTTTGGTATTTTAATCTCGTGCGCGGTGTCCTACGTCCCCGTGTTAAAGCAAACCTCCAAGCCGCGACGCCAGCAGCTCTGAGAGCTCGCCCGGTGGAAGGAGTTCAGATGCCGGCCGTCCCCGTACGCGCTGGGCTGAAGGAGTTACAGGCGGGGGGAGAAACGGCACCGGCCGGGGTACTGGCTCGACCTCGCCGGCGGTGTGAATTTAGGATCTTCGGTAGGCATTTTGTAGAGTTTAGCCATCTTTGCTGTATCCCCGGAAAAAATGTTTAACAAATACTGTCTTCTGTGAAAATGCCGACTTCAATGACTTCATTCAGGAGGTTCCCTAGCTGAAGGAAAAAGATCTTCCTCTTGCTTCCGAATACTGAATAAAAAATTGTTTCCTAAGCACCCAAACGCATTCAAGTGTTTTATCGGTTGTAATTTATTGATGTTGTTGTCGTGGTAGCAAATCGCATTCGTACATAACCTATAGTTTGTCTAAAACAAATTCGAGGAATAATAAAATAGTTGCGGTTTTCCTAATTTTGCGTTTAAGTTAAGCGCAATGAAAATACGGTAACAATTTCAGGCAGCTCGCCTGCTATCTCCATGCTGCCGCGTGTGAATAAAACTAAATACAATTTTCTGAGCGTCGGAATAAAGCACACGCAAGAAAAACGGCGTGGGGAAGGCAGAGCTATGCCCCTCGATTCCGGTTTCCCCGTCCCGTTCCTGCCTTCCTAGCAGGAACTTGAAGCGGGGAGGGGGGCGGAAAAAAAGCCTGAACACGGCTAAATGCACGCTAAGTAATTACCGTCTCGTCAATAAGCAAATAAAAAATAGTTGGTGTTATTTCCCCGGACTCGTTCCGTGGTTTAAAATGCGTTTGCCAAAGAGACTGGCTAACGGTAATGATAATTCCGCCGTGAAAGAGTCGGCTGAAGTTAATCCTGTGAAAATAAGGTCTCCACTGCCAAGAAAGAAACCGTGTAATCGCTTGATTATTGGCGTCCTTTGACTGTTCCCTTGGAAAAAAAAAAAAAAAAAACCAACCAAAACCCAGGGTGTTTTACCAGACCTCAAAGCTTCGGTTACTCCAGCCGTTTCTGATAAATCCCGCCTCCCTCGAGAGGAGCGCGGGAACGGTAAAACCCCGTTC